CCCCCTTCATGACTCGTGGATTTCCACTCCCAGAATTCCTGAGCCAGCATGAGGGAACTATGGCCCTTTTATGACTTGTGGACTCCTACTCCCAGAATTCCTGAGCCAGCATGGGGGAACTATGGCCCCTTTATGACTCGTGGACTTCAACTCCTAGAATTCCTGAGCCAGCATGGGGGAATTGTGGCCCCCCTCATGACTTGTGGACTTCAACTCCCAGAATTCCTGAGCCAGCATGAGGGAACTATGGCCCCCTTCATGACTTGTGGACTTCAACTCCCAGAATTCCTGAGCCAGCATGGGGGAACTATGGCCCCTTTATGACTCGTGGACTTCAACTCCTAGAATTCCTGAGCCAGCATGGGGGAATTGTGGCCCCCCTCATGACTTGTGGACTTCAACTCCCAGAATTCCTGAGCCAGCATGAGGGAACTATGGCCCCCTTCATGACTTGTGAACTTCAACTCCTAGAATTCCTGAGCCAGCATGGGGGAATTGTGGCTCCCCTCATGACTTGTGGACTTCAACTCCCAGAATTCCTGAGCCAGCATGAGGGAACTATGGCCCCCTTCATGACTTGTGGACTTCAACTCCCAGAATTCCTGAGCCAGCATGAGGGAACTATGGCCCCTTTATGGCTTGTGGACTTCAACTCCTAGAATTCCTGAGCCAGCATGGGGGAATTGTGGCCCCCCTCATGACTTGTGGACTTCAACTCCCAGAATTCCTCAGCCAGCATGGCTGACTCAGGAATTCTGGGAGTTGAAGTTCACGAGTCATAAAAAGAGCCAAGGTTGCCTTCCCCTGCACTAAGTGAACTGTTGTAAGCTGAGCCCTCCCTACTCAGAACTTACAACTGTTGCAACGTCCCCCTGGTCACGTGATCCAAATCCAGACGCTCGGCAACTGACTCACATTTATGACGGTTGCAGTGTCCCTGGGGGTCTCCCGTGATCCCCTTTTGCAACCTTGTGACAAGCAATGGGGAAGCCAGCTTCACTTAACAACCGGGTTACTAATGTATCAACTGTAGGGATTCACTTAAGGCCAGTGGCAAGAAAGGTCGTTAAGCGGGGCAAAACTCAATGTCTCGCTTAGCAGTGGAAATTTTGGGCTCCCTTCTGATCGTAAGCCGAAGACTACCTGTAAATGCAGCTTAAAAAAAAAACCACCCTAAGACAGGGGTAGGCAGCCTTGGCTCTTTTATGACTGGTGGACTTCAACTCCCAGAATTCCTGAGCCAGCCACGCTGAGGGAAAAGGGAGAGGTTTCCAAGTTGAGCCATGTTGGTTCAGGAATTATGGGAGTTGAAGTCCACGAGTCATGAAGGGGCCATAGTTCCCTCATGCTGGCTCAGGAATTCTGGGAGTTGAAGTCCACCAGTCATGAAGGGGCATAGTTCCCCTATGCTGGCTCAGGAATTCTGGGAGTTGAAATCCAAGAGTCATAAAAGAGCCAAGGTTGCCTACCCCTGCCCTAAGAGTATTGCATAACTTCTCTTTTGGCTCCAGCAGAACCAGCTCGGTCCTCATTCTCCGTTTTCCCCTTTTGCTGGTCGGATTGAAAGGCGGTGCTCTTTACAACCACTCGTTTAGCGACGGTTTTAAGTTACGACAGCCCTGGAAAAAAAAACCACTTGCAACCGGTACTCACACTGATAACCATCCCAGAATCCACACCCAAGGTCACGGGATCCAAATTTGGGCACTTGACTATAACTGGTGTGTTATTTCCAAGGGCTGCAGCCTCCCTGGGTCACGTGATCCTTCTCTGTGACCTTCCCAGCTGACTCCCAAAAAAGGCAAAGTCAAGGGGGGGGGAGGGCAGCCAGATCTGACGACCGTGTGATTTGTTTAACAAGCGCAGGGAATCACTTAACTGCCACCACCACCGCCACCCCCGTGGCAAAAAGATGCAACTCGTTTAACAACCGCCTTGCTCGGCAACAGAAATTCTGGTCTCAGTTGCGGTCATTAAGTTGAGGACTACCTGTATGTCTGGCCTTTTTATTCAAGGCGATAGATAGATAGATAGATAGATAGATAGATAGATAGATAGATAGATAGATAGATAGATAGATAGATAGATAGATAGATAGATAGATAGATACCGTATATGACCATGTACAAGGCGACCCGGCGTATAAGACGACCCCCGTCTTTATCGCCGGGCCGCATTCCTAGAACGTCTTATACGCCAGAAACTACCAGTATTTCCAGCGTATAAGACAACTCGGCGTATAAGACGACCCCCATCTTTGGTGCCGATTTCAGCGCTCGCGGAAGTCGCCTTATACGCCGGCATTTACGGTAGATAAAACTATATCTATTATGTGGGTATAATTGTTTCTGTACATGTGAGATAGACAGACAGACAGACAGATAGATGATAGAAAGAAAGAAAGAAAGAAAGAAAGAAAGAAAGAAAGAAAGAAAGAAAGAAAGAAAGAAAGAACGAACTATATCTATTATGTGGGTGTAATTGTTTCTCTACATGTGAGATAGATAGATAGATAGATAGATAGATAGATAGATAGAGACAGATAAATAGACAGACATAGATAGCAATAAGACTTATATACCGATTCACAGTGCTTTACGGTCCTCTCTAAGCAGTCAATTGGGTGACTTTGGGTCAATCACCAGGAGACAGTGAGTTCTAGTTCCGCCTTAGGCCTGAAAGTCAACTGGGCGACTTTAGGCCAATCACCAGGAGAGGGTGAGTTCTAGTTCCGCCTTAAAAACAAAAGCAGCTGGGTGACTTTGGATCAATCACCAGGAAACAGTGAGTTCTAGTCCCGCCTTAGGCCTGAAGCCCAGCTGGGGGACTTTGGGCCAATCACCAGGAGATAGTGAGTTCTAGTCCCACCTTAAACAAAAAAGCAGCTGAGGGACTTTGGGCAAATCACCAGGAGACAGTGAGTTCTAGTCCCACCTTAGGCCTGAAACCCAGCTGGGGGACTTTGGGCCAATCACCAGGAGTTGGTGAGTTCTTGTCCCACCTTAGTCATGAAAGCCAGCTGGTGACTTTGGGCCAGTCACTACTCTCTTTCAGCTCAACCCATCTCACAGGGTTGTTGTGGGGAACACAGGAAGAGGAGGGAGGAAGTGTTGGGTATGTTCCCTGCCCTAAGTTATTTGCAAAAATAATAAAGATGCGATACAAATAAATAAAGGTGGATGGAGCCAAACCTCCCTGTTCCTACACCAGCCCCTTATTCTCTCTGCCAGACAGCCCAATCCAGCCTTTCACAATCTCAACACTCGTCAGCTTAATAAGATCCATCATCCCCAGCACACAACAACCTTAGGGCTGAGACTGTCCATTGCAGCCAGACAAGAGAGCAAGTGCCAGGCGCAAAACCCCTGTGACTGCAATTTGACGCCACAAGCTGCAGAACTTGGGCCGGCCGGGGATGATGGGAAATAGGGATGGTGATGATGGGATCTGGCATCCCGACGAATATGGACGGCCCAGTGTCAGGGTGGGAATTGCAAGTGAAGCAGCGAGGATCAAAGCCCAGGCGGAATCTAAAGCTGAGGATGATGTTTCTGGAGATTCTGGGGTGGAGGTTGGGGATGATGGGAATAGTAATACCAGGAACACAGGGCTGGGGAAAGTAATACAAGGAACACAGGGCTGCTGTGGGGAGAGGGGTCATCCAAAGGATATAGATATTGGGGGGGGGATACTAATAAAAGGCTGGGGATGATGTATATGGAGATTCTGGGGGGAGGGGGGAATCTAAGGTTGGGGATGATGGGAATACTAATACTAGGAACACAGGGCTGCTGTGGGGGGAGTGGTCGTCCAAAGGATATAGATATTGGGGGGATACTAATAAAAGGCTGGGGATGATGTCTATGGAGATTCTGGGGGAGGGCGGAGTCTAAGGTTGGGGATGATGGGAATAGTAATACCAGGAACACAGGGCTGGGGAAAGTAATACAAAGAACACAGGGCTGCTGTGGGGGGAGGGGTCATCCAAAGGATATAGATATTGGGGGGGATACTAATAAAAGGCTGGGGATGATGTCTATGGAGATTCTGGAGGGAGGAGTCTAGGGTTGGGGATGATGGGAATTGTAATACCAGGACCACAGGGTTGGGGAAAGGAATACAAAGAATACAGGGCTGCTGTGGCGGAGGGGTTGTCCAAAAGATATAGCTATTTGGGGGGGGATACTAATAAAAGGCTGGGGATGATGTCTACGTAGAGATTCTGGGGGGGGAGTGTGAGGTTGGGGATGATGGGGGTTGTAATACCAGGGCTGGGGAAAGGAATACAAGGAACATAGGGCTGCTGTGGGGGAGGGGTTGTCCAAAGGATATAGATATTGGGGGGGAATACTAAAAAAAAGGCTGGGGATGATGTCTATGGAGATTCTGGGGGGGGAGTGTGAGGTTGGGGATGATGGGGGTTGTAATACCAGGGCTGGGGAAAGGAATACAAAGAACACAGGGCTGCTGTGGGGGAGGGGTTGTCCAAAGGATATAGATATTGGGGGGGAATACTAAAAAAAGGCTGGGGATGATGTCTATGGAGATTCTGAGGGGGGGAGTCTGAGGTTGGGGATGATGGGGGTTGTAATACCAGGGCTGGGGAAAGGAATACAAGGAAGACAGGGCTGCTGGGGGGGAGGGGTCGTCCAAAGGATATAGATATTGGGGGTGGAGTGGGGGCAATACTAAGAAAAGCGGAGGCTGCTGGACCCGCTGCGGACCATGGGAGGCGTAGTCCCAGTGCACGTGGACAGAACCACCCCGGCGGGGAGCGATGGGCGTTGTAGTCCGGCGCCTCCGCCAGGCTCGGGCAGAGGGTCCATTCGCTCCCCCTTCGCCCCCCTCCCCTCGACCTGTCAGATTGCCGCCGCCCCCCCCCGCCGCCCCGGCCTCGCCCCCCCGCCTCTTCCGCCCCCCTCCTCCTCGGCCCCCCCTCCCCTGGAGGCCGGAAGTGCCCCGCCCGGCAGGGACCCGCAGCCGGCCCGGCCCGGCCTCACCTCATCCCGCAAGTCGGCGGCAGCGGCGACAGCGAGACCACCTCCTCCTCCTCTTGCGCCGCCATCTTGGCTCCCCCTCCCCCCGACTCCCCCTCCCTCCGGCTTGCCCGAGGCTCCGCCCCCTCCCCTCGCCCTCGCGCAGCGGGTCCTGGCAGCACCGCCGACGTCCCTCTGCTGACCTAAAACCTCGCTAGAAACAATGCCGTTCGCCCCTCCGGCAGGCTCTTGCTCTTTTGTAACCCTCTGGAGAAGGAACGGGGAAATTCCAGTCGACGGGAAGCACGGGAAACGACTCTGCCTGAGGGCGTTCACTACCCCCCTTCCAGGACCGTGCGGCACCACTTCGCGAACTCTACCGGAGGGGGGCACGCTTCGGAAGAGAGAGTCGGAGAAGCGCGCTGGCCAATGGGGATGCAAAGGCGGAGGGGCGTGGCCCTGAGCAACCGACCAATGGGAGGGAGCAATTCAGGCGGCCTCTGAGGTGAAGGCGATAAAGGGGGCCTCTAGGGACCTCGTGGGCGATAGACTCACGAAACGTGCAGAGGGATACGTGAGGAAAAAAATTGCGACATCTTTGAGAAATGTCGCTTTTGCAAAATTCACGTTTGTTTTCCTACGCTTGCGCGCTCTCAATTGAAGAGTTTTACTTGCTTTTGGTAATTATTATTTTTTAAACGGCACCCGATATTATATTCAAGTACATCTTGAGGACCCAGATTGTTGGGGGCAATGTAAATATATATATACATTGCTTACTGGTGTACACCGCTTAGAGAGTGCTCGCACTTAAAGCGGTATATAAGTCTAATAAATAAATAAATCTGCAATCAAGCTAAAGGAACACTTTTTAAGAATAGAATAGAATATTTTGCCACTTTAAATGTACACTAATCAGCATGCATTAAAATGAGATTTCGTTGCATTCAGCTCTCAAAGGGTAACCACCTCCAATACACACTGCATAAACATGACAAAAAAAAATATATGCATATAACCACATGCACAAGCGTATATGACCCAGAGACCAATTAAGTAATTAAAATATCTGTTTGCTACACGGCCGACTAGAAATAAAATTATTCTTTCTGCAAAAATACTGCAACTCTTGCTTAACCTCTTTAAATCCAGGGAGACTCTGATTTCTATTCCCCCGGATAATAAACAACAACAAAAAGGCTTCTGCTATAGACTTATTATCTGTATCCCAGCAACAGATGACCTTCTTCATTTTCCTAAATCTATGGGCTGAATACTTCCGGCTCTTCCTCCCGAAGATGACGTCACGCCCAATTACAGAGCACCAACGGTCAGCAGCTCTCCCCCAACGCCATTGGCAGGCGGGAACATCAGTCTTTATATTTCAACCAATTAGAATAGAACATTCTGCCTGACGTTAATTATGAAATCAAGACAAGGAAAAGGGCGGGGCAAAGTCGCCGGGAAATAAGTGGCAACTTAAATTTAATTGGTCCTTAATTGGAATTCAGCAAAAACTCTTTTTGCGCAATGTTAATTACGTGGGTTGGTTTGGGTGAGCAACTTCCCAAAGGATTTTGGCTTCAGTCCTGACCATATTGGCAAGTTCATATAAGAACAGAGTGTTTCCACACATCACACTATTATGTAGTCAAAACGTGAGTTCTTCAGCCAAATATAATTGCCTAAAAATACATTATTGTACATCCTGGCAACGTGAAGATCTGTGGACTTCAATTCCCAGAAATACCCAGTAAACCTAAGGAATTCTGGGAGTTGAAGTCCACCAAACTTAAAGCAGGCTAGCTGGGAATTCTGGGAGTGGAAGTCCACCCATCTTAAAACAGGCTGGCTGGGAATTCTGGGAGTGGAAGTCCACCCATCTTAAAACAGGCTGGCTGGGAATTCTGGGAGTGGAAGTCCACCCATCTTAAAGCAGGCTGGCTGGGGAATTCTGGGAGTGGAAGTCCACCCATCTTAAAGCAGGCTGGCTGGGGAATTCTGGGAGTGGAAGTCCACCCATCTTAAAGCAGGCTGGCTGGGGAATTCTGGGAGTGGAAGCCCACCCATCTTAAAGCATGCTGGCTTGGGAATTCTGGGATTTGAAGTACACCCATTTTCAAGTTGTCAAGGTGGAGAAATACTGTATTACACATTCAGAGCACGGTAGATTTATTCAGGATAGAAGGTTGAAATAAACACATCGCATGACAGTTTTACAGACTTTGCAAAGTCAGCCCAAAAATAATATTTAAAAACCCCATAATTTTCTAAAGAAGTTGTTAACAGTTGATTCTGCAGAAAATGCAAAGCCATCTATCAATTATGATGCGTACAAGCAACATACCAGCGGCGATGTGAAAGACCCGTTTGACTTGGGTTACAAATGCCAGGCTCCACTTCCAAAAATTGTGAGAACACATCTTGAGTGTCAACTTTCTCAGTTTGCAAGCCAAGAAATATGAGAGCTGAGGAATTCTAGGAGTCGAAGTCCACAAGCTGGGGTCTTCCAACTTGGTCCTTTATGACTTGTGGACTTCGACTCCCAGAATTCCTCAGCCAGCGTGTCTGGTTGAGAAATTCTGGGAGTTGAAGTCCAAAAGTCATAAAAGGGCCAAGTTTGATCAGCAGGAGACAGTGATTCATCTTAGGCATAAAGCCATCTGAATGGGCCAATCACCCCCTTTCAGACCAGCCCACCTTACAGGGCTGTTGTAAAGAAACTAGGAGGAAGAAGGATGATTACTTATGTTCACTGCCATAAGTTATTTATAAAAGGCATAAAGGCAAGATATAAATAAATAAAATACAAAAAAGTAAAGAAATATTGTCACGGTGATTCTCACTGGTTTGGGACCCCCCCCTTGGAGTCCCCAACACCCTTTCAGGGGGGTCCCCAAATACAAACATTTCTTTCAAAATTACTCGGTTTTCATTCCCGACAGAGTAAATGTTGATCGATATATAATAACCCACATAAACCAAAGCCCTTTGCGGGTCTTCAGTTTGTTTTAAGAGTGTCAAAGTATCCTGGATCTAAAAAGTTTGGGAAGAGCTGTTCTATTACAGATGGACCCATTCGAAGATTTGTTTTAATTTTACCTGCCAGTATTTATTTATTTTTTTGAAAGGCTACATCTGCAACCTAATTTGAATGCTATTTTTTTTTTTTAAAAATGTTTGTGGCATAACACTTCGGGCATGACACGGCTTGTTTGTGAGTAACTCCTCCTGGGTTCATTCGGGCTTCTTTGCAGGCCTGTCGGTGTTTCCACCCAAATAGATCTGGTTGAAGCTGAATTCTTGGTTCATATTACATATATACGTGCATTGAACAATGCAAGTTGTTGAAATGTCATCGTAGAAGAGCCTGTTTTCCTTCTCAATGGTACAATGTTAGAATCAGAATAGAGCTGGAAGGGATCTTGGAGGTCTTCTAGTCCAGCCCCCTGCTCAAGGAGGAGATCCCATACCATTTCAGATAAGTGACTGTCCTGTCTCTTCTTAAAAACCTCCAGTGATGGAGTACCCACAACTTCTGGAGGCAAGTCGTTCCACTGGTTAATTGTTCTCACTGCCAGGAAATTCCTCCTTAGTTTCAGGTTGCTTCTCTCTTTGGTTAGTTTCCATCCGTTGCTTCTTCTTCTGCCTTCAGGTGCTTTGGACAATAGCTTGACTCCCTCTTCTTGGGGGCAGCCCCTGAGATACTGGAACGTTGCTATCCTGTCCCCCACTTGTCCTTCTCTTCATTAAACTAGACCTACCCAATTCCAGCAACCGTTCCTTATACGTTTTAACCTCCAGTCCCCTAATCATCTTTATTGCTCTTCTCTGCACTAATTAACTTAGTGCAGAGAAGAGCAACAAAGTTAACAAGCTCCACTCTGCGACAATTAATTCATTAATTAGTATTCTTTGCACTAATTAAATTATCCAAGCAGAAAATACTAATTAGTGAATTGAAGGTCACAGAGTGGAGCTTCTTCACTTGTGGTGAACACTGGTTAGGGAAGGTGTCCGGACTGCCATCCTGTTACGGACATGCTTGGCCAGAGGCCAACCAGTCTTCCATAGGCAATGGGGGAGGGTGCTGCGAGGAGGTAGAAGGGAGTCTGGGATAAGCGGAATTGAAGCTACTCTTTTTGGCAGTCCAAGGTCATAGAATGGAATGTAATGCCATCCAGTCCGCAAAGCCAGGGATTGTTACCAAAACAATTTGTTTGAATTGTAATTGAACAATTAAAATATAACTAGGAGAAAGATGGGGAGAAGAGAAAAGTTAACCAGATGCTTTGGGCGCGAAACTTCAAATCCAGCTTTATTTCACTGTAACCAAATAATAATAATAATAATAATAATAATAATAATAATAATAATGTTGGAAGGGACCTTGGAGGTCATCAACCCCCTGCTCAGACAGGAAACCCTAGACCATTTTGGACAAAGGGCTGTCCAGTCTCTTCTTAAAAACTTTCAGTGTTGGAGCATTCACCGCTTCTGAAGGCAGGTGGTTCCACTGGTTAATTGTTCTAACTGTCAGGAAGTTTCTCCTTAGTTCCAGGTTGCTTCTCTCCTTGATTAGTTTCCATCTGTTGCTTCTTGTCCTACCTTCAGGTGTTTTGGACAACAGCTTGACTCCCTCTTCTTTGGGGCAGCCCCTGAGATACTGGAAGGCTGCTATCATGTCCCCCCTCGTCCTTCTCTTCATCAAACTAGACAAGAAGCAACGGATGGAAACTAATCAAGGAGAGAAGCAACCTGGAACTAAGGAGAAACTTCCTGACAGTGAGAACAATTAACCAGTGGAACAACCTGCCTCCAGAAGCTGTGAATGCTCCAACACTGGAAGTTTTTAAGAGACTGGACAGTCATTTGTCTGGAATGGTTTAGTGCAGGGGTAGGCAACCTTGGCTCTTTTATGACTGGTGGACTTCAACTCCCAGAATTCCTGAACCAGCATAGCTAAGCATGGAAACCACTCAATTTCTCCTCAGCATGGTTGACTCAGGAATTCTGGGAGTTGAAGTCCATGAGTCATAAAAGAGCCAAGGTGGTCTACTCCTGGTATGGTGTTTCCTGCCAGAGCAGGGGGTCGGACTAGATGACCTCCAAGGTC